TTTTTTTTTTAAAGTAACACAACAATGGGCACAGTGTTTCTGAGCATCATAAAATACAAGGTGTGTGAAGGTCTACCTGTAGTTTAACCACCCGGTAACAGTGGACTCCTCTCAGATCAGTGTGGCCTCAGTATTGACGATATAACCCACACATACCTGAGGACACACTCACCTTCTTGTGTACTGCTTTCCTGGGAGTTCATGGCCTCTAATAAAGTTAAGCCTCTTCTTATGAGTTCTCAGATCTTTTAAAAGTTCCCAACTCTTATTCTAGTTTTACTGTCTAGGTGGAAGAGAAAGAATGAGAGAGGAAGGCAAGTCTAAAGATTATTTCACACTGCTGTCTTCATTTTCCCATGAGGCCTATTTTGTATTTTGTAACCGTGTGTGTGTGTGACTGTGTTTTAGCCTGATTCTCTTCGCTGAGTCCGTGTTATAGTGTGTGTGAACACCTACGCACATATGTGTGTTTGTACGGGGTGCGAAAGCGGCGGCAGTTTAGGGTCACAGAAGGAGATCCATTACGTCACCATGGCAGCCAGCCTTAATTACAGCTAACTATAGTTGGAGCAGAGGGAGCAGAAAAGGGAGAGAGAGCGACGGAGCAATGAGTGTAATTAAAAAGTCTATTTGAAACCATGAGATTATTATAGTGATGAGGTTTGTGTAATGGCTTGTACAATACACTGATTCATGTGTCTCATTCTGTGCATGCAAACACTGAAAATATAAGCCTGTGCTCAATACATTACCCGCTCTGTGCCGAAGAATACGTGCCAATTAATAGTACTGGCCTATTTAAAGGTAACATCATGTAAAATAATCTCTAATTGCACTATTGATCCATTTTAGACTGATTCTTTTTTTCTGATCAGCAGGCTAAAATGACCCTAAATTTGAATGTTGTTTGCCATGTTTTTTGTTACAGCTGTTAAATTGGTGTAATAACCACTATCTTTGCCGTAACTGAATTGTCCTAAAGATTTCTATTCAGGATACTTTGAACATAAACATTGTCTCTTATAATCTCTATTTCTACTCACACTTCTAACTGATGGCTAATTTTTAGCTCAGAGAGCCAGTCTAGACCTATTTTCATTTAAGTACATATCTATTAAGTCGCTTTATGGTGCCTGACCCTTTCATGCTGCATCTTTATATTAAAAGCTTTTTATTACTGAAACAGGATCCGTTTCTAATTTGGTGAGAGTAATGGAAAAAGGAACAGAAAATTTGTGTTTCTAGCTAAAGAGAAATACATCTCAAACTTCTCACCAGTTAACAATATAGCCCTGAGGTTAGAGTCCCACACACCAGCACAAATCTCTGTCCTAATGAGGACACAGACGGGATCTTTCAGTTTTTATGTATTAACACAAATCAAAAATAATTATAATATATTTTATTTATTGGCACATTTAACCTCCTAAGACCCGAACTCTTCCACGACATGCATCTTAAATTTCTCTTTGATATTTGGGCATATTGGGGCCCAATGAATGTAAAAACAAAGAATTACCAGATTTTTTTTTTTACCTTATTTTTATCCACATATTAGGATATTCGTTTAGAATTTTGATAGAACAGTAGTAGTATAATGTCCTTGTAAGTGGATATCACGCCCATGTAGAGCAAAATTGAGTATTTTGGTCTAAATAACCCAAAATGTGAAATCCACATATGTGGACGCCAGGTCCTAGGAGGTTAAAGACCCTCAAGGTCACCTTACATTATTACAACAAAATTAAAAAAAAAGGTAAACAAAAATAAAAAGTATGTATGTACAAGTATGACAGTATAAAAGCTAAACGAAATAAAAAATGGACTAAGACAGAAAAGTGATGAAGGGTATGCAATTCTGAATACATAGGTTTTAAGATGTGATTTAAAAACAGAGTTAATAGTGCGGAGATCTGGTGGAAGTGCATTCCAAAGTTTTGGTAGTCAGTCCCATTGTAGTCAGGTGAGCAGTTGGAACAGACAGAAGGGAAGCTGAAGAAAAGGGGAGTGTACGTAGGGGTGAGTACATGTGAAGAAGGTCAGGTAAATATGGAGGCGCAAGGTTTTTAAGTGCTCTTAAGTAAGAAGCAGGATCTTGAAATTGACTTGGAGGTGAACTGGAAGCCAATGAAGCTGTGTTAGAACAGGTGTTATATGTTCAGAAGATCTAATTTTTCATATAATATGAGCAGCTGTATTTTGAACTAACTGCAGTTTATGGGGAGGCTTATGAGGTAGACCATAGAGAAGAGAATTGCAGTAGTCTAAACTAGATGTGACAAAAGCAGTACAAATATGGCAGTACTGTTTGGAGAGAGTGAAGGATGAAGGCGGTTAATATTACGAAGATGAAAATAAGAAGACCGAGTGATATTATTTATATATGTTGTGAAGGAAAGAGGGCTGTCGATACCAAGACTCTTATCCTCAGGGGAAGGGGTGACAACAGCGTTATCAATGGATAATGAAAGACTTTGGTTAGAACTTTAGTCAGTTTTGATTTGGTGCCTATTAGAATAAATTCTGTTTTATTACCATAAAGTTTGAGAAAGTTATGAGTAAACCAAACTTTGATTTCACTTAAACAGTCAGAAATGGATGTGGGTGGGAGAGTAGCTGTGGGTTTGGAAGATAAATAGAGCTGGGTGTCATCTGTGTAGCAGTAAAAGTGGATATTATATGACAATGAGCCTAAACAGACTTCAAAGTTAATTACCCCAGTGATTCTACTTTAGAAACATGAACAGGTAGAAATGGAGGCTGCAGTCTAGCTGCTCATCACTGCCTTTGTTTCTTGTTGAAGTTCAGGCTCTGGCTGCTGGGCTGGGGTCTTCATGCACTCAGCTTTAACATCACTCTGCTCTTGGCTAGCTTTGAGTTAGCATGCTATCTGTGCAGATGCTACTTAAACAATTAAAATTGTTCAAATTCACAATCTCAGGTCAAGATCAAGGACCCTTTGTAGAGACCTGTTACTTGGTTGGCAACAGCAAGTAAAAACTGTTCCCAACTGTTTCCACCACATACAGTCTCAACCATAAAATGTTGTATACCCAACTTTACATCGTATGTTAATATTTGTATTTAAATGGACATAGTTTTTTGAATTTGTTATTTATAGTAGAGTATTTTGCTTTGATTTTTCAAAATGACATGGAAACATATGCACAAGCCTACCTGTAGTTTAACAAATTACAGAATAAATGATTACAGAATTTGGAGAAAAGGTTTTGACATTTTAGCTTTAACTTACTCAAAAATGTGAACTTTTAAAATACTCACTAATTGATTTACTTACAGTCGATTAGTTTATTACTCAATTCAAGGGCTATTAAAGCACTTTAGCTCCAAATCCTCTTTCCTTTTCTTTTCGGTAGTACCTTAACCTCCTAAGACCCAGACTCTTCCACGACATTCATTTTTAATTTCTCTTTGATATTTGGGCATATTGGGGCCCGATGAATGTAAAAACAAAGAATTACCAGATTTTTTTTTTTACCTTATTTTTGTTTTTAAGAAAAATAAGAGCCACATATGAGGATATTCGTTTAAAATTTTGTTAGAACAGTAGCAGTATAATGTCCTTGTAAGTGGATATCAGTCCCATGTAGAGCAAAATTGAGTATTTTAGTCTAAATAACCCAAAATGTGATGTCCACATATGTGGACGCCAGGTCCTAGGAGGTTAATGGATTGGATAATCAAGACCTTGGGAGACTCGCACTGAAACACTTTTACCCCTCATTCACTGGGAACCTGATTCTAAGGCACTTCCCAACTTTCGTTACACAGTTCAGCTGAAACAAGCTCGTACATGTGTCTTGTACTCTCTGTTAAACTCCTGTTTCTGTCTGAAAGGAAAATGAAACAACCTCAACCAGCATTTAGTGTTGTACAAGCAATATTTCAGCCTCACATTCAGACTCTCACATTTCCTAGAAAACTCATGTTCGAGATAATTAATTTCTTACACAAGAAACCAAACTGACGGCTAAAGTATCTCTTTTCAAATATGATGGTTGTTCCTTTTCTGGGCCTCTTTGATTTCCCAAATCAGCATTGCTTCCTGGCCAGAATGTGCACATCATCATTGTTGAGAGTCAAGAGTCGGGGCCGGAGGTGTAGACAGCAGAGTTGTGGCCCGACGAGGTAGCTCTTCTGTTTTGCGCTTAACCAACAGTTGTTTGGTTTCCCCAGTGTATGATTCACAGCAATCCTGTTGGCACTGAGGGCAAGTCAGAGAGATGCGATTGTTTTGTAGCCTTAACAGACTGAATGTTTGGAAGATGCTTTTGGTGTGTGTTGTGAGTAGAGTGCAGCATGTTGGTGCTCATGATTCAATGCACCTTGGATTACCGGTCTACAGTACAGAAGTGATCCAAATGGCCTTCATGTGTGAACTGGCGACCGTGGGAACAAGTAAGGATTTGACTCAGTGAGGATTTCTTTATTAAGACATTGAAAAGGTTAAAAAATACACTTTGTTCTACAAATAAACTGAGTTAGAGTTAACTTTGAAGGTTGACTTAGTCAGTCTTAACTACCTCAAGTGTCAAGGATGGAAAGAGTGATCAGACAGTTTTTACTGAAGAACCGATAAATACTATGCTGGTAGTGTGGAGTATAAATGGAATTTTAATAAGACTTTTTAATCTAACATTGAGTCCAGTCAAGTAAGCGTGGATCATCGTTTTAACGATGTCCCAGGTATCAGTGCAGACTTTTATTTCCATAAGTGAGTATGACAGCCTTTTAAAACTCATCTCTGTTCAACCATCTTCCTACATCTTGCTACACTTATACATTTGCACACACACACACACACACACACACACACACACACACAGACCTGACGATAATGCTCACACATTGTCAGTGATGACATTTCCGTTTTTGTTTCTTTCCTAATTAGCAGTCTCTCCGCTCGTCTGGTGCACCGTCGGCCAATCGGCAGAGTCCGCTCATTACCCAGGGGTTTATTTCAGGGTCTTTGTCAAATGGAGAGTGAAAGTGACAGCTCAATCTAACCTCAGCAATAAGCCTCGCATGGTCGCCTCCTCACTGCTGGTAGAGGGTTCAGCTTGGCTATCATCGAGGGGCACACCGGATGGTACTCTGAAGCTAATTGAAATGCCACCCTGTTCTTTCTTTTCATGTCTTTTCTTTCTTTATCTGCTTCTATTTTCCCCTCTTAGTTCTGGATGTCTGCCTTGGCCATCACTATCCCAGTGCCCTCCGGAGCCTTCATGCCAGTATTTGTCATTGGTAAGAAGTAAATGACTACATGTGTTTGTGTGTGTAAAGGGACAGAAGAAACCCAACCCTAGGTTTAACCCTACTCTACAGGATTACGTTTGTGTAATTTAACATATTTACCAAAAAAATCAAACAAAAATAAATCCTTTGAAAGTCAGTCATGTTAACGTACTATAAATTACTATATATGTTTGCCACTAATTAAATACAAATAATGTTATTGTATTTAATTTGGGAATTTATTTGGCATTATTAGTATCTTTATTTAAGCAGGAAGTGAAACTTATGAGACCAATCTAATTAGCATTCTAGACTGTCACTGGAACTGCTGCCATTGAATCTGCTATTTTAAGTCTAATTGCTACCCTGCTTTCCTGTCCAAACAAAAGATGCAACTATAACAATCATTTCAAATATCCAACTGTCAGTTGAGGAGAGAGGAGGCAATTGTCGCTGTAGGTATATGGTACATGGGATTAGGTGATGTCTTTTGACCTCATAACTTTATATCCTCCTGACACTTGACCAGGAACACCACATCCAATTCAGGGTGGTGGTGGAGCCTTAACCCAACTGTCATAGGGTGGGAGGCAGGGTACGCGCCGGACTGGTCACCAGCCTGTTGCAGTGCTAACACAGAGTCAGGCAACCAGCTTTCTTGTTCGCCACCCCTAAAGTACAGTACAGGTGTACTGGTGTATAAGAAAGGCACATGTACACTATTTTCAAAATGGTTGGGGAAAAAAATCAATCATTTTTAAATACCCTGGTGTGGCTTAATACCAACGTTACAGTTTTCGTTTTTTTAATTGGTTCATTTCCATTTAGAGAAAGGTTTTTCAAATAAGGAGTGCTTGATGCTGTCGTTCACATGAGAACCAAAGCAGTGGTGTATTGCTCATATTTGGAAACAGCGAGAAAATCATAATCAAATACAGTTATTAAACTTTCACTATAAAACTTTTTAGCATACCCAAGACGTTTGTACTTTTTGACCTAAGGATTTATGTTTTAGTGGTTGGCGTTACAGCATCTACTGGGCCACCACCAATATTGCACTTGCGAAATGGTCTCAATGATTGTGTGTCTCTGTTTCCCTGTGTAATTCAGGGGCAGCCTTTGGTCGTCTGGTTGGAGAAAGCATGGCTGCCTGGTTCCCTGATGGCATTAACACAGATGGTACCATCTACCCCATAGTGCCAGGAGGCTATGCTGTTGTGGGTAAGTTAAAGACACACACCATTTCAGCTGTCTCTCACTCTCCATCCTAATCTACATATTTTTGCTGCAATAAAAGACGTTTGCTTCTACAATTCCTCTGTGATTCAGCCTTTGCATTATAAACCTATATACGCATTTTTCTTCTTGACTTTCTGTGAAGGGATTTCATCTTTGATGGCAAGAGAAATAAAAGTGAATGCACAGAAATATTTCCTGTAGCAGAATTGCTCAGTTTTTCAGCTCCAAGTTAAGGCTTTAAGTTGACACTGATTAAAGGTGACACGGAATATGAACAGACTCAAGTACTCCAGACAAAATCAAATTATATTTATAAGATCCCCAGACCAGTCACGACAAAGAAACCTCCTGCAAAACAGTTTAGACACCAGCTGAAAAAAACAACAACAAATTTCTTCACAGTGGTTTTGTCAGATGTTCATATTCCACTAGAAAGTCTGGAAGTTGAATATCCAAGCTAATGTGCAATCCAGGAGTCCTGTTAAGAAGCAGACATTGTTTTGTTGCTTGGCAAAGGCATATTTTTGTTTTGTGTTGACTGAATAATGTACTTGAACAATATATATATGAATACAAAAAGTGTTAAAGGAACATAATTTAAGTGTTAAAAGAATATATTAATAAGAAACTGTATTGTTTCTCTGCATTTTAAGTCTGTCTGTATAGATTTCTGAGAAATGAACTACCAAACATGACACATTATCCCATGTTATAATTTATTAGACAAATGCTAGGCTGTTATTGAGCTGACCATAAACTCCTGTACACCATAGTCTTTGTTTTGAGAAAAATGTGAGGCTATGTGTTCGACAGCTAAGACTTGTTTCAAACTGGATTGGGCATCCACTGGACAGAGTCAAAGCTGAGACCTTAACCTGATTAAAATGCTGTTTGGGGACCTTAAGAGAGCTGTGCATACATGAATGCCCACAAAGAAATAATATGACAGACTAATAGCCATGCAAAGAAGTAGTTATTGCTGCTACAGGTTATTCTACAAGCTCCCGAACCATGAACTGTACTAAACAATGTGTAATATAAGGTTAGTGTTCATCTCAGGTTGTGGCTGTAGCTCAGGTGGCAGAGCAGGTCAGCCACTAATCAGAAGGTCGGTGGTTCGATCCCAGGCTGCATCCTGGCTGCATGCCAAATATCCTTGGGCAAGATACTAACCCCGTGTTTGCCTACTGGTGGTGGTCAGAGGGCCCGGTGGCGCCTGTGTCCGGCAGCCTCGCCTCTGTCAGTGCGCCCCAGGGCAGCTGTGGCTACAATGTAGCTTGCTATCGCCAGTGTGTGAATGTGTGTGTGAATGGGTGGATGACTGAATGTAGTGTAAAGCGCTTTGGGGTCCTATGGACTAGAAAAGCGCTATACAAATGCAGGCCATTTACCATTTATTTGTACTTTTTTTTTAAAGGTTGTATTTACTTAATTTTTAAACCTGCCAGAAACTCGATAATTTTATTACAATTTTTATTAGTTCCAATTTTTAAACAAGGATAAATAGAAAGCTAATGGTAAATATGACAGCTGTTGCTCATCAACTTTTACTCACACTGCACACCCCTGTTTGTGCTAATACAGTCATTAAATCAACAATGCACTGCACTCAGTGTCACAGCTTTGTTATTTAAATATCAAGGGAAGTTAAACACAAGGAGAGCAACTGAATTGTAAAAGTAATGTGATAGACAACAAGTTTGTTAGAATATGTGGGAAAATTTTAATCAACAGCCATAATTTCCTACTACTAGTTTACTACCAATAATTACGCAAAAAACGTCCAAAAAATACCCCCTCTGGACAGTGATAATAATAAGCTAGTTAATGCAAATGATTATTTTAACTTATTAATAATGTCAAAATATTTATTTTCTTCTGGTTTTTTTTTGTTTTCCTGTATGGTTTATTAAACAAATGTACCTTAAACAAACAATACTGAGATCTTTACTCTCTGGTGAACAAACCATGTAATAGAGACATTATGTTTAATGACTCAGAACTTCCCTATGGCATATCTTTACTTCTGTTTGTTGTTACTCATCAGAAGCCACAAACACTGCGACAAGCTAATGTGTGATGTATCAGTCTAGATGATTTATTTGTCTGGATACACAGACGAATAGTAAAATAAGTGATAATAACCAGCAAAGGGTAATGATTGTATACACTGGATAGTGATGCTGTACCCAGTATTTCTTTAAAGAAATGGTTGCACTACATACATTATAGATTCTTCCTGAAGTTGTGTGTCTAATGAGGTGCAGCGTTGCTACAGTTGCTACTTGTTGACAGCCGTGCTGATTATGCCAGTGTTATGGGTTGGCGGTGGCTGTTTTTCTGGGGCTGATGTTGTTGTTGTTGTGCTGCACTATAGCTGATGAGTCACCCCTTTACAGACCTGACACTCTGATGAGCCTCTTTCATCTCGCAGCAGAACTTGCTTTAAGGAATAAGTGTTGGGATGGGCAGAGGGAGCAGCAGCATTTATCTGAGGGGCATACATGGGCTTAATTAAGTTAGGAGAAAGAACAATGAAACCTGTCTATGTAGACTCTCTTACTCACCATCTGTTTCTCTTTTTATTTTAATGCTTTCATTCTCTGGTATTTTCCCCCCTGGTGTTCATCTCATTCTTTGGATTGGTCTCATCCATTTTCTCTGTTAGGATAAACACTCACTTTGCCCATGCTGCTCTTTCTGCTTTGATGTGGCTAGAGTATTCCTCTTTTAACTACTCTGTATTTATTTTTTTAAATAGATTTGCAAATGTAAAATTTCCTTTTATATTGAATTATTCAAAATAGTTGATTTTTGCTTTATGGACATAGGGGAGAAGGCTGTGGGGGGGATAAATGTGTATTTAGTTGCTTGAACTGAGTCAGTATGGATGAGATAGTGTTCAATTATATTCATTTTTATTTATATAGTGCCAAATCACAGCAACAGTTTCCTCAAGGTGCTTTATATTGTAAGGTAGACCCTACAATAATACATACAGAGGAAAACCCGACAATCATTTGACCCCCTATGAGCAAGCACTTTGGCGACAGTGGGAAGGAAAAACTCCCTTTTAACAGGAAGAAACCTCCGGCAGAACCAGGCTCAGGGAGGGGCGGCCATCTGCCACGACCAGTTGGGGTCGTGGAGCCAGAGATTAATAACAAGTATGATTCAGTGGAAAGAGGTCTATTAACAAATAGTGAGTGAGAAAGTTGACTGAAAAAGAAATACTCAATGCATCATGGGAATCCCCCAGCAGCGTACACCTATTGTAGCATAACTAAGGAAGGATTCAGGGTCACCAGATCCAAACTATATGCTTTAGCAAAAAGCAAAGTTTTAAGCCTAATCTTGAAAGTAGAGATGGTGTCTGTCTCCTGAATCCAAACTGGAAGCTGGTTCCACAGAAGAGGGGCCTGAAAACTGAAGGCTCTGCCTCCCATACTACTAAATACTAGAGGAACAACAAGTAAGCCTGCAGTGTGAGAGCAAAGTACTCTGTTGTTTAAGACTCTTCGAGTGAATTAACTTCCAAATCTGAAGTTTGATTTTGTAGATTAGATTATAAATGTGTTCTATACAATGTACAGCTTCTTGTAGACAATGTAAATAATCTATCCCACTGTGCACGCTACAACACTAAGGTAAAATTATTATAATTTTGTTTAAATGCTGTTAATGATTTAAGTTCATTCAATTCCCCTGTCAAGCTTGGATTCATGTGTAGTGCTAGAGCACATCTTGTACACCTGCTGCATTTGGACTGTTTTGTAGGAATATCGATTTAAACACTTGGAGGTGGACATTTGAAGTTTAATTATGTACCTTCAAGTTTGCCGAGCGCAAATATCAAAGGTTTTTTTTCCTAAAATGACCAAAACTTCAAAACGAAGATTACTGTCACAGTAATAACAACCAGTTCTCTGGCTATGACCACTAAAAAATCAGCAGAACTGCCAAGTCAAAACTGGATTGAAATGTAGTAACAACGACCGTAGCAGTGTATGGTTAAATATAGCGTGCTAATTTAAATCAAGTACAGTTTTTAGGTCTTTATAGGCTCAGTAGAAACAGTTTCTGATTGTACCAAGGGAAGTAAAGCCTAAAATTACCACTTTTTATACATGTTTTTATAAGATGTTATATCACAGCTAACAGCAACAACCAATAATAGTGTAATGTGGACATGTAGTAGTTGAAGTAAAGAGTCTTGGAAGGTTGGTTATAAAACATCCGAAAGCACTGCTCTAATTCGCACAAGTTACAGATCATGTTCCAAAACAAGTAATTCGCCATTGTTAGCTTTTCTATTGTATCGTTTGAAAGACTTCTGATTATGTATTTTCATCTTGGGATTTGCTAATTTTACTTCCTGTAGTTTTGGGGGGAACGCAGACAGTAATGAAGTCACTGATGATGGATCAATATGGTAAAGAAACCAAGTGCAAGAAAAAGTTTTTTTTTTTCTTTTAACATCTTCAAAAGACCTTTGAAGAACTGAGACTCAGAAAGCGAAATGTGTAAGTTAGAAATTTTAGCAGCTTGTCAGAATCTTGAGTCTCTGGCATTAATCAACAGTTCTCTTTGTCATATGCTTGGGACAGTAAGATAGTATTTTATTGCTCTTTGAAATCATATTAGTATTGACCCATCTGTTTTTGGAGGGGGGCTTTGAATGCCACCCAAAGGACCCCTTTCTAAAGCCCCAAATCTCACCTTACAAGCAAACGTCTAACCAATTATTTCTACACTTTCTCTCTCTGGTCTTCTACTAACCCCACTGTCCTCTCCCAAACCCAAAGGTGCTGCAGCCTTGTCGGGAGCAGTCACCCACACGGTTTCTACTGCAGTCATCGTGTTTGAGCTGACTGGCCAGATCTCCCACATCCTGCCGGTAATGATAGCAGTGATCTTAGCCAATGCCGTGGCCCAGTCCCTGCAGCCCTCCCTCTACGACTCCATCATCAGGATCAAGAAGCTTCCCTACCTCCCAGAGCTGGGCTGGGGTCATCACGAGTATGTATATTCTAGAGAAACACCAGCACACAACAAGACAAATTACAAATAAGTTTTAATTATGCAAATACCATTATGCAGAATGTTAACTACTAAACCAAAAGCTAATAAGAATTCAAAAAATAATGGAAAAGGTTTATAGTTTGTGCAAAAGGTTAAAGGTCATATAATATCTATGCATCAAATTGTTAAGAAATCTAATTTAACAGTATGCTTCAAAGAAAGGAATAAATTAGGGTTTTGGGAAATGCATTTATTGATTTTGTTAATGATTTTGAAAAGCTCAGTAGCATAGCTTGTAAATGAAAAACCACTATGACCACCAGTGTGTCAGCTTTAGCATAGTGTGAGATTAAACAAGTACAACATGAAAATTACTCAGCATTAGAAGTGTTACTAGGCTAATTTTTGGTACCTAGGACAGCTTGAGGCCAGCTATAATTTTATTAGCCCACAGACAAAATGATTTTAAAATGTTAGCATGATAAAGTTGTCAGTGGGCCCAATAAAACTTTATGTCATCTCAAAAAAAGAATGCACACATTAATTGGTGGGAGCTGAATTAGAAGATTTATTACTTTGTTATAGTTATCTGGTAAATATAAAGGCACCCCTATTATGCTGTTAGCGTAACTTATTATTATGTGAAGTTAAGCATTGCAAATCATAACATGGAAATTTATAAACTTCAGAGGTTGTATGAGAGGGATTTTGCTACCTTGGGGCAGAGTCAGACTCGCTGTACCTCCATTAGTCCACAGACAGCATGCTAACATTTAGCTTTCAAGTTTTTGGCATGATCACGTTGGCATGATAGCAGTTAAAATACTTTTTGCAGATATTAGAGTGTTAGTCTGAATCCACCGCATTGTCGGAGAAATGATATATATATAGTCCCTTTTTAGGTAACTTTCATTTAAGCAGCATTAGCAGCATTATGTACAGCATATTATTATATAGTGGCATTATTCTTGCTGGACATTTGACTACTCTTCTTGGTAGAATTAGCAGAGTTCATGCTGGAAGCTTAATGTCACCCTCTTTTATCGATTCGAAAAACCAGTTTTAATGTGTTTGGGAAAATTGTGTTGTTGGAACACCCAGTAGTGTCAATTTTTCAGCTAAAAACAGCTCCAGAGAGTTATGCTACCACTACCACCATGCTTTATAGTTCCTACACGGTTAGTGTTCATTTTTTATTGCTCTAAACATACCTTTTTCTTACATTTCTGGTAACTATTTGTGCCAAGTAAGAAAAAAAAAATCTCTAAAAAGCATCTGGCTTGTGCATGTGAATAGATGTAAAGGTGTCTATTTTGGAGCATTGCCTTCTTTCTTGGTCTGCACCCTCTTAGTCCATGGTGATATTAAACTTGATTCACGGTTGACAGTGATGCAGATGTTCCAGCAGTTTGTAGTTCATGGCAGGTTTACGCCTAGGTGGTTCCTGGGTTATTCCTGAACAATTTCCTCTCTGAGGGTGACAGCGTGAGTCTTCTTCCAGACCTAGGCAATGTAGTGACACATCTGAATAGCTTGCATTTACACAGTTGGTAAAACCAATGATCTCAGAACCCCAGATGTGGCTCCAAGAAACCTTTCTAAGGTGAGAAAGAGACTTCAGCTTTTGCATTGTTCTGATTGGTCAGTCCAATGAGTGTTTTCAAAGAAATCCTTTTTAAGCTGGCAAAGGGAAACTACTAGTTGTAGAGAAATTTCAACCACAACTGTAGATTCTTTAATGGCGCTGATAAGTTTATGGTGGCACTCAGTGACTGATGATCAACCATGGAAGTTATTTTGCAGGGCAGCCTTTATTAGATGTTGCAAGAAAGTTAGGATTTGTGGATAAAGATAGCAGGATAATGACACTGTAGCAAAGAGTGGCTTGTGTGGAGTCAAACTGGAGGCTCAGCAGGGAATTTTCTCCTATGTGGCATGCTGTTTAACTATGAATGAAGCGTTGAGACATTTCATTCTGCTGATTACATCAGCCTAACATACTATGGCTAAACTGTATGAAATATACTGACTGTATGAATACATTTGTGTTTAGTTGCTCACTAAATAACTGAATACACTTGCTTCAGCATTAGTCTGCAGTGTTTTTTAATGGCTTTGACTGTTGCCTTTAATTTGGGTGTTTAAACTCAATCATAGCACTACAGTAAAATCTGTTGCACAAAAATACAAGTGTGGCTGGAGGAACCTGGCTTGGTACATGGCTTTTAATGGACTTCATATTTAATAATAATGCATGCCAAAGACACAATGTTGAATAGGATTACCCACTGCCTGGTGTCATCAGAGCTCTGTGATTCCATATAAAAGCGCTGTTGGTGTAATTGTTTGGAACTGATGTTATAGATGCTGCCAAAGCATTAGGTGAACATAATAGTTTAATTTTGATGCGGCATTCACAAATTGAAAGCAATGAGCAAAAGTTTTGTTTGGTCCTCTGCTTGTTCATTATTTTCTGAAGCTGTTCCTTGTAGAGTTACATTTATGTGTGTCGCTTGAGTCCTTCACTTCACAGCATAGGGCTGTGCAATATGACCAAAATCTCATATCCCAATATAAGAATTCTATCGTCCCAATAACGATATAAATCACAAAAATGTAACATTTTCTGTAAATTCTGTGAATCTCTGGCAGCTCGTCTTGCGGGAAGTGTTTCCAGCTGCGCGTCATGTAGCTGGAGTCGAGTGTTTTAACCGATGCATGAAACGATACATTTTTAGACATAAGTTGTAAAGGCTGCTGTTTTCTTTGTGAGTATTTATTATACATCGTGCTGCGGGGAAAAGCCTGTTCTAACGTTTGAGTCTAAGGTTTATTTTTAGCACCTGGCGGCTCTTTTTTTAAAATTCTCATCCGTAAATAATCTGCTCTTTCACGTGATTCGGTTTATTTTGAAAAGTCTCAACAGGATCTTGAGCTTTATTGTGAAAGGTTTACGTGGAACATAAACAAGCGGACACGCGATGCTGATACTGTCGTTGTTGCTAACCACAACGCATAAAAACAGCTGCTTGTCCGTCTGTAGTGTGGTTATATTAAATACAAGAGAAAGAGAGAACTTTAAGAAATTAATATAGCCACTGCAGTGACCATCAAAACGATGAAAAAATATTCCCGTAAACAGTTTATTTTGTGACACCACGAAAGTAAAAAGATAGACGTTTGTTTTTATATCGTCATCCAATATATATCGTTATATCGAACAGCCCTATGCCAGCACCTCAGTTGACCCTCGCTGTCCATCTCTTTGTTATCTATTCCCCTCTCACTCTATCTGCTCTCTCCTCCTCTGTCTCTTCTTATTATCTGCTGTGACCTTGTGGCCTCTCAATCACACTCTCACTATCTTGTCTTGTCCGTGTATGCATGTGTATGTCGGGAGAGTAAGAAACTGCAATGTGAGCTGTGTTTTCACCAAGTAGTTGTTGTCTAGTTTGTAGGTTCCTCTTATTTCTGATTATATAATGCTATTTGTAGCAGGGAAGACATGCCACATGAAAAAGCTTGGGGAGGCTGTTTAGCACTGCTGTTCGGTGTAGGTTGGAATATTATTCTCACTTATATTTGTAAAGTTTTGTAAACCAGCTAATCTTCTCTCACACAAACTGAATCTTCTCGTTAGAAACACTTTGGTCAAAAAATAAAACCTTTTTTTTTCAGTGGCCTGTCTAAAAGATTTTTCCAGTGTGGCACCTTTTTCATCTAACCTCATTACTGCCAGCTGTTGCAGTTCAAATTAGCTGCATAAAGCATAGGTAGCCTTCATCTCAATATATCCTAGTGGTCATTGTGATATTACAAGAAGCCTAAAAAGAATTTTCCCATGAATTCACATAACGCAACTTTCTACAATAATATTGTATGAATCCTGTAATGCCTAAATAAGATCCAAGTTGTCCATGCATGTACCAATAGGCATAACGATAAGGGCCAAACTGTGATGGCTGGACAGCTGGGTCAGAGCATCTCCAAAACTGCAGCTCTTGTGGCATGTTTCCAGTCTGCAGTGGTCAGTATCTATAAAAAGTGGTCCAAGAAGGAACAGTGATGAACCAGTGACAGGGTCATGTGTGCCCAAGGCTTTTTGCCACAAAGCAAAATTGTTCAGTTTGAGGAGCATACCAATGAGTTTGAGGTGTTGACTTGGCTTCCAAATTCCCCAGATCTCAGTCCATAGGAGTATCTGTGGGATGTGCTGGACAAACAAGTCTGATCCACAGAGGCTTCACCTCACAACTTATGGCTTAGAGGATCTGTTGCTAACATGTTGGCAGATAGCACAGCACACCTTCAGGGGTCTAGTGGAGCCTATGCCTCGACAGTACAGGCTCTTTTACCAGGATAAAGGGGACCAACACTATATAAGGCAGGTGGCTGTGTGTGTGGATCTTAATGATTACGTTTGCAAATGTTTAAAATCACACATGCATAGAGTGTGTGTGTGTGTGTGTGTGTGTGTGTGTGTGTGTGTGTGTGTGGATATGAGCCTGGACATATTGAAAATAAGTCATGACACAACCATCTGTCATTTTCTGTATATAACAACACGTTGCCAGTATTGTGAATCCATATGATATGTATAATGTGTTTGTTTGTGTGTAAACACTGAGCACGTACACAAACTCTTGGAATCATCTATCTTCAATAACACATAGGCCTCCATGAACTTGACTCGTTATGCAGAAAGCTCTTACCTACCTCCTCCTTCATTTACTCTATTTTCTTTGGTGCCTCTCTCCTCACTCTCTCTCACACACCACTTTCCATCAGCAGGCCTGTGTGTGTGCGTGTGCGTGTGTCTGCAGCATACGCAAGTGGAGGTGGAGGCGGACCTGTAGGTGAGACACTGTAGGTAGGTAGTGTGGCCTGCTCCAAGCAGAACGTGTTTTTCACTCTAACTGGAAATTATCCATCTCACACCCACGCAACCATCCACCCACACACACACTCACAAATCCAGGAACACTTGTGTAATGCCTGCCGTGCAGTGCACGCATATGATAGCATGTACATTTGCTCATACTCCCACACAGGCATGGACAGAATTAGATTTTTTTTTTTCAATGCTTTGCTCCCGCACAACTCTTACAGATATGAGTGCAGATACAAGCAGACATGTTGAGATGGACACAAATACAAAGATCTTATATATGATCCGCTGCGGATATGAAACCTTTTCCTGTGCCTTCCGTTCTTCAACACTGGAGTGGTATTTGAAAGAAAGTGTGGCGACTGTTACATAACATCACTTTCCATGTGTTTGTCTTTTGTTTATTCTGTCACTTTGCTTTTCTTAGTCATTTCATAATGGCCAGTTCTGATTGATTGAATAGTCTATAGTCCGCTGTTATCTCTATTTTTCTGACAATAATTGGAGCTCCGGCAGATGATCATTACAGCCCTTTAGTTATTAGTTTTCACCGCTTGTCCTGAATGTCTGCACCCTCTTCACTCAAGCATGTAGAAACCTAACAGCCAAACCTTCCCTCCATTCTGCCCTGAGCAATGCGGATGATCTATGAAGCCTGGGTTTATAACCCTATAAGCTTGTTTCTCTTGGCTCAAACATATAGGTTGATGCTCACTTCGATATAAGTCAGACTGATCAGTATCTTCCTGCCCAGTCTTTGCAGGGGAGGAAGGTCCAATTAAGAAGAAACCAATCACATTTCATCAACTGCCTTTGATATCTCGAGGGAAATTAGTCTTGGCAGTGGTTGTGGCCAGTTCAGAGGCATGCATTACATTATTCCCTCAGATCCACTATCAAATTAAAAGAGGCTGCTATTGCACCAGAAAGGATCTTTTTGGTCACCTTTTTTTTTTTTTTTTTTTTTTCTGCTTTCCATTGCAGACTAATAGAGCACTGTAACGATTCAGTCTCCTTCCAATGGTTTTTTTTCTCTTAATGATAACATTAGGTATGTAGAGAAACAGGAAAATCTTTAGTGGTGCCCAAAATATGCTGAATTTCATTAACATTTCATGGTCTCTGATCATGGTTTGATTTACAAGATGTCTAAAAGTGGTGAGTTATTGATAACAAAGATAAAGACCTTCTATTACTTTCATTTAGATTACAAAACTGCATGTTTTTTTTCTAATTGTCCTCTTGTTATATAGCCATAGGGTTATGGTTTTGGCAAGCTTTGTAAAAGGGTGGGAATAAATCTAACAGGCACATGCCTGCTGAGGGTACATAAAATCAAAAAGTTATGTTTCAATTATTAATTTCTTTCTAGGAGTCTACTTTCCTCACTATAAGGATTTTTCTTTGGGACCATTTTTTTCTGAAACTAAATTCCAAAGTGCTTCCGATGAAAAATGAAAGCTGGTGCCACTAATGTCATTTTTCAGTGCTGTGAGGCACACAAACAAGATTTAGTTCACCTCCATTGTGTACAGTGGAAGTAAATACCTCAAAACCTAGACAAATAAATCCAACACTGTCTGAATTTAGATACTGAGTCAATCATTTCCTGGAATTACAGTAATATTGGACAGTTTTTCAGCCTCGAGATTTCTGTCCAGTGGCATTAAAAAAAATACTGGTTCTAGAAGAACTCCCTTCCTGTTTTCATGTTCTTGTCTAATATGGTTGAGATACTACTCTTTACAGTGTAGGTTAAGTGACCCTCGAATACTGTTTGTAAAGTGGAATTAGGCTTTGATACAACACCTCAAGAGAGTCAATAGAAAATCTTTCTGCAGAACTGTGTTGTTGCCATTCATTTCTCTAAGAGGGATGTTGGACTAACTTCATGCATTGTGTGTATTAAAGAGGAGCTGGCAGACAATGGTCATCAATTTACCTTTGTATTTAAAGCGAGGTCAGTGTATTGACTTGTCACCACAGAAGGAGCCTGCATCCTGGCACGGCTGCGGAGGCTTGGCAGCGAAAACCACTGAGTGACTGCGGTCATGTTTGCAGGTTTTGGCAGGCTCAGGCTTTCTCAGGGAGAGAAATGCGAGTGCTTTTGACTGGTGTACTGGGGCGTACGATTATGCTGAGGCAAGAGCTGCTCGCGAAATGTCACCCACTTTCCAATACTGTACGCAGAGCACCAGCATCCGGATGACGTGTCGACAGAGTAAGGTGTTATTGGATTGACCGGTCAGCTGAAAGAAGGATGTGCTGTCAAAGCCGTACAGTATGTGGGGGGAAGTGTTTATAGATCCATGCACTAATCAAGCTTCAGTTGACAGTTCATCAGAGGAAAAAGTGCATGACAGTCAGCAACAAAAGGGCTATTCAGAGGAATGTTTAAAAAAATTAAAAATGAATTCTCGCATCCATCTGTCTTATTCTCACTTTTTTTTTCTCATCTTTATGACCACTTGATAAATGTCTCTCCTCTTTTCTCATTTCAGGAAGTACAATATTCGTGTTGAGGACATTATGGTACGCGACGTGCGGTACATCACACTCAACTGCTGCTACAGAGACCTGCATAACGTGCTGCTGACGGGCCAGCTCAAAACGCTCGCACTCGTGGAATCAGCTGGTACACACAAACACACGTGCACCATCGTAGAGATCAGTATAAAGTCTGAGTAACACATTTAGAAGTTTAGTTTCACGTTATTCCACTTGTTGATACACAAACAGGTTTCATTGCAATACATACACTTATTTCCAATGACACACATGTCCAGATATTTTTTCTATAAGAAACCACATGACTGTATTTATCTGTGTCTACAGCACAAATAGAGACAAATTTTAAAAATGTGTGAATGTCTAATAATTAACTTCAAAGGTTTGTCTAAAAACTGAAATTTCGAACCACCAGGGGTCAATATGGAGCCTATTGAAAATCACCAATGTGTAAAATTGGTTACTATTAGCCCCGTTGTGCCATTTGAATGTTATTTCATACATTTTCTACAAAGTTGGCATCATTAATGCTTTGAATCAGTAAAACCTTGTTATTGCGTTGCATTTTATGATGAAATCTGCCCGCGTTTACCACTGCTGAATACAACTTTTAATTAAATTAATTGTTGATTGATTGCAAAGTTACCCCTTAGATGTTCTTAGCCACTTTCTCTGATATGAAGAAAGTCAGAGCTCCAGCACTTTGAGATTTCTGAGAACACTTTTGGCATAACTGCATCCCTCTTTTGACTTCAGAGCCACTGCATGGCTGCATAGCTCTGCTGATGTGTGGTTCAAAAATAACAACCCTGAAGTCAGTAACCAGTAGTCAGTAAAAACCTCTTGAGATTGTTTGCCTTCCACCATCTACTTTCCTTTCTTGTGAGTATGTTAGCCTGCGGGTGCATTCGAGGTGTGTCTAGCTATTTTATTTTAAGTGTGTGCACTTTGCACACAAATTAGTAGGTGGCCTGGATTCAAATTTCCAATGGGCCAAAATCGAGTTTGAAACGCGTAACTTAATGTGTCAGAATGCACTGGTTTATATATTTATGACACAGCTCTGTGCTGTAGTCTTTGTTATAACAAAACAGAATAAACTTTATTTGTCACTTCTGAGTTTCTGCTCAATTTCGAATGAAATCGAAGGCTGAGCTCAACACAAACTGAACACACAGCTCCCACTCCCACTGACATCTGTGCTTGTTAGCATACAGTGTGCACAGTCTGTAAACTGGTTTCGTTTGGCAAATCAAATTAGTCTTTCAAAAGATGGTTGTAAACATACACGGCAGACCCAGTGGCATTTTGATACTTTTTATTAATGCTTTGACGGTTGCTGTCCACAATACTCACAGAGCTGCAGCTCTCCCGCTGCCCGCTCAACATTATCACAACAACAACGCCAACCACAGGACCCAGTACAATATTTAATTCGGTGGGGTGTGATTGCGGATGCCGTGCAGGTGCGTCCACCTCCTCTGCACGGCACCGCAGGCCACGCCCCGCCACAATGGTCAAATTGGGCAAATCACTGGCCTTAAATGGGCATTGAAACTGCACTAATATTTCCCAGTGGCCCAGATTACTGTGTATAATTGAAATGTTGCCACTCATACTGTAGTATGAGTGACTACAAACCCACAGAGAAATGTTGTATAACCCAACACTCTGTTTTAATTGGTTGTATTAATCTCAATTATCTTGAGCTCATTATACTTGTTGTCTTGTACATAACTCCATTCTCATTCTTGTTTCCAGCTGCAGCAGGTTGCTGCTGTCAGCAAAATAGCTCTGAAATGCCCACTGCATAGCACAAAGCTGCATAATTCTCTCAGTTTGACACATCCTATATAAAAGATGAATGTTCTGGCTCTGAAAAGGTTCTTTTCACCTACATTGTTGTCAGTGATCAGGGACTACCATCAAAGCAAACAGGGTCTGAGTCATTCAGTGAGAAGTGCCATGCATGGGTCCCCTGATATTTAAAAAGAATATAAAGATTTGTTGTTATTCATGACTAAAGACCCTACTTTAAGAGTACTAAGCATTCATTTAAATCAAATAAGAAAACAAATAACAAAATTTCAATCCATCCATTTTCTGCCTAAGCAGAGAAAAGCCCAACTGTATCCCAGACCACCTCCTCTAGATCACTGAGGTGTTCAAGGCGAGACATAATCACCATTTCTCACATTCATCTGTGTCACAGTCAGTATACGTTGTGTATGCCTCTGTCCTCATGAAAGGACTTTAAGAT